TCTCTCTCATCATTGTTTCTCTCTCTCTCTCTCTCCCTTCCTCTCCTAAATCAATAAAAATATTATTTAAAATCAAGTTCAGTATACACACCACGTTTTGCAAAATGTTGAATCAATTCATCTCCAAAATATATTTTAAAAAAGCTTCTGATTACATTTGAGAAAATTTTGAGACTTTCATGTTCCCACCACTAGTTCATAAATAAAATATACCACTTGAAAAAAATGCGCACACACTTGTAATCGCTGAATAAAAATATCAAGCGTAGAACTGCTTTGTCACATGTTTTGCCAGCTCCTGGTGTTTCTTCAATGCTTGGCTTTTCAAAAAACAAATTTTCTGGAAAATGTTTTGTCTTTTACACTTTCCAGTTTTTGCAGATCGAGATGTTAGTAAAACAACTTGGGGAAATTCGATGAGTGTTGCCATATTTGGAAATAGGATTTCTTAGAAAGAAAATTTCCATCCATAGAAATCTATCCATAGTAGATTAAGATCAGTTATATCCAAGTTCAACCAGAATATCCAGGTACAAAAGCAAAACTAATACAAATATATTTAAAGGAATATATAAATAATAAAAATGTGAAGTGAGGTATAGTAATTAAGAGTCAGTCAGGCCCTAGCTGGTTTGGCTCAGCAGATAGAGCATCGGTCTACAGACGGAAGGGTCCCAGGTTCGATTCAGGTCAAGGGCACATACCTAGGTTGTGGGCGTGGAGGGGGCAGCTGATTCATGGTACTCTCTCATTGATGTTTCAATCTCTCCTCTCTGAAATCAATAAAAATATATGTTAATCTAGGTACATAAAAAGCCAGTGACTAGAACACCATAATGACCGGTCACTATGATGCTCACTACAGCCAGCAAACCTGCCAGATGGGGTGCGGGCGGGCCAGTCAACCTCCTGTAGCCCCTCCCCCTGGCTGGCCCCCACCTCTGATGGGCCTTCCTACTCTGATCAGGGGCAGGGCCGGCAGGCCAAACACCCATGGCCCCTCCCCCAGGCCGCTGGCCCCTGATCGCTCCCCCCACATCCTATTCCGGGGTGGGGTCATCCAGCCAACCCCCTGAAAGGCCCAGCTCCAATCAATCCGCCCGATTGGGGCCAGGCGGCCGGACCCCACCTGTGCACGAATTTGTGCACTGGGCCTCTAGTAAATAAAGAGTCAGTCAGGCCTAAAGCACTAGCATCATAGTATCAAGTAGTATATATATTGGGATTACATATTAACAATATAGAGTTATTGTGAGGATTAAATGAGATGTCATATAAAGAATATAAGGAATGTAAAGCTAAATATAGTTTAGCTACTATTATTCTAGTGTGAAGCAGAATAAACTAAACAATGAGCTTTGCTTTGATGAGTTTTTAATTCTGGCACTAATTTCCATATAGGCAGGTACTTACTTATTCTTCTTAGCTCAAGGCTGACCTAATGATCTTAAATGGCTCTAAATCAACAGTTCTCAAACTGTGGTTTGCAAACTCCCAAAAGTCCCAAAGACCCCTTCATGGGGTCTGTAAAGGGAACACTATTTTCATAATTTTATTAATAACAGTATAACTAGTTTTATAATAATACTAATGGTCTAATACCATTTTCATTTTTCACTGTTGACATTTGTACGGATGGTGCCAAAGCAATGGTGGGCAAAACTACAGAAACCTTGGCATGAATCAAAGCAGTGGGACCAACGTGTATTGGTGGGCATGCTATTCTTCACTGCCATGTGCTACCAAAGGGGGGAAAAAATAAAGCTAGCTTCCCTTAAGGATGTGCCTGATGTTCTAGCTGGGTAGCTCAGTTGGTTGGAGCGTCGTCCCCTACCCCAAAAGGTTGCAGGTTGGATCCCCAGTTGGGGTGGGTACGGGAGGCAACTGATGTATGTTTCTTTCTCATATCAATGTTTCTCTCTTTGTGTCTCTCCTCCTCCCTTCCACTCTCTCTAAAATCAGTGGGAAAAATATCCTTGGGCGAGGATTAACAACAAAATAATAACAATGCCAGGCCTCTCATTCTTTTTAAATTTGGGACTACATAGTGATTTTTTTTTTTTTTACTAAAACACATGATGTTAATATGTAATAGGCTTATTATAAGCATTTTAAAATGAAGTAATAAATTTTATCAGTTAATTTCTAATATGGTAAATATCAGTATCTAAATCTACCCAAACTACAGTTTTTGAGATCTTCAATAATTTTTAAGAGTGAAAAGAGGTTCTGAGACCAAAATGTGTAAGAACCACTATTCTAAATAGTTGTCCAAACTTGGGCTGGTCTCCTCTGTACACACAGGGAGACAGCGCTTAGGGCAAACCTGTCCAGTAGGAAATGACCGCTCCCTGGTCAGGTCAGCAGTGGAGCACTGTGAGCTGGAGTTAGCGCTGGGGAAAGGCTCACAGTAACAGGCAAGTCTGATGGCGCAGGATCACTGAATTCAAGAAAGGCAGGCCAGCCAAGACCGGTTTGGCCCGGTGGATAGAGCGTCGGCCTGCGGACTGAAGGGTCCCGGGTTCGATTCCGGTCAAGGGCATGTACCTTGGTTGCGGGCACATCCCAGGTGGGAGGTGTGCAGGAGGCGGCTGGTCAATGTTTCTCTGTCATCGATGTTTCTAACTCTCTATCCCGCTCCCTTCCTCTCTGTAAAAAATCAATAAAAATATATTTTAAAAAAAAAAAAAAAAGGCAGGCCAAACACCTTTTGGGAAAGAAGGGCCACAAGTCTGGATCAAGGAAAAATAAACAGCTGGAACCCTTTTGGATTAGGAATTCTGTTTCTAAATAGATTAGAGAGAAACATGTCCTTTCCCCAGCAGAAGAACACCAAGGGAAATTGCAAAACTGAGCTCTAAGATCAATGTGGGCCCCTTAGTGTGTCTCCTTTCCGGTCAACAAGTGAACAAAGTCGGCCCTAAGGCTCCAGGCCTTTCAGACTCTCACCCTGGTCTGCGGGCAGAAAGTGGTGTCCAGGCCTGACTATGGCTGGGCTCTGAGCTTAAAAAGCAATAAAAACCACAAGAAACGTTTGACCCATTTCGGCCTCTTGTCCTGAAATTCTCATCTCGCTGAGGTGAAAGAACCAAGGCGTGATCCAACTAAAAACGGGACGCTGTCCAAGGGGAAGGGGAAAGGATCGGCGACTCCAGCTCCAGAAAGGGCAGATTCTGAAAATAGGAGGCGGGGCATCACCCGTGAGGTCGGAGCCAGCACCGGCGAGTCCCCCCTGCGGGCTCCTGAGCCTCTTACGATCCCCGCGGGACCTGACGGCTCCTCGCCACCATCTTCCCCTGGATTCGCCTGCGAGGAAGGAATGCTTTACCCGAACCGCCTGGACCCCATCCTGCTGTGATGATGACCCGGCGACGACTCCACCCCTGGAGACCTCGATTTCTCCTCCGTGAAATGGGCAGAGGGACCGGGCTCGCTTCATAGGGTCCAGGGAGGGCGACCTAAGATAACGCGCAGACACCCCTAGCACCAGCCTGGGCACCTACCCAGCGCCTCCGGAGCAGAGGTTATTATGAGGGGCATTTCTTTGCTCCGTATCCTCAGGGAGCGGCGTTTTTCCTTATTTTTCAATATAATTCCTTTCTTCCAGGCTATTATTTTCGAGGTTCTGGTCCCTCGCATCCCTGAGTCATCATCATCAAGATGCCGGGCTCTGAGACCATCCCTTCCCCCGCTCTCTAGGGCTCCCTCTCCTGACGGCTGCGCCCTCGCGGGGACCGGACTCGCTCCGTGACCCCGGGTCCCTGGGGCGGGGCCTCCTGGACCTGGTTCCGTGACCCCGAGTCCCTGGGGCGGGGCCACCTGGACCTGGTG